GCATTATAAGTTTGTTGTGACATTCATCTGGCTGGTGTGTGTAGGGAGAGGAAATCAGAGTTCTTGCTATAAGGAAGGCCTACCACCCTACCTTCTGCTTCTGCTTAAACTAGGCACTTTTCACAATAGCTTCATACTTGTTTACTGCTATGGTGGCAGGCATGTGTGAATACAAATTGGATTCATCCAGAATGTTTCCATTGTTGCTGTACCCTGCAGGCATGGAGTAACTAGGGGAAGTGAGGAAGGAAAAAACTGCTAAGAAATGTTTGATTCCCTCCTCTTACTCAGCAAGTATTTCTCTCCCCCCCAGTTTAATTCATTATTTTGAAAAGAAGTTATATCCTAAACTGAAGTTTTTGCATGAAAAAAAACACTAATGGTTGTCTTGAGGTCAGGACAAGAAGACGGCACTTCCCCAGAGAAATCAGCAAGTTTTGTGCAAAAAGAAGATTCTAGGGTTTTATTGTGATTTCAGATAAACCACTGAGCTGAAAATAGGCTCATTTCTTGAACACAGGTGGGATCATAGAGGTCCAAACTTGTTTTCAAACTGGTACACAATTCTTTGTGAAGATGTCAAAACATTGGGGAAAGTGATACTTGACTAAACAAGTGAATAATACAGCAGTGCAAACCTTCAGAGAGATGTTTTCACTTTGAATAAAGTTTTTCTCAAGTTGCTTCCTAAAGCCTCATGGCCTCCTCATTTCCAAAGCAATGGGAAACAACCCAGTTGTGGGATTCCCGGGCAGACAGCCAAGAACCATTTAACAGGCAAATACTTAGTTAGATCATACAGATTAACAGAGTTGGAGGGGACCTTATAGGTCATCTAGTCCAACTCCCCACCCAAGCATGACAAATGGCAGTTCAATCTCTTGAACTGAACAAAGCCTCCAGTGATGAAACTCCCACAACTTCCGAAGGCAAGTTGTTCCATTGGTCAGAAGGCAAGCTGTTCTCACTGTCAGAAAATTCCTCCTTATTTCTAGGTTGAATCTTTCTTTGTTCTTCACAGGATTAGGCCAGGGAAGGAGTTTTTAAAATGTTAATATAGAGCAGGAGTTTCTTGTCAGAGTTCCTATGTCTTTTTATATAAATGTTCTGATTAGCAGAATTGATTTTATTAATTTAGAATAGGGTTGCAATGCTGTTTCTATGTTTATGTATTTTGATCCTGCATTTTCAGTATTTAAGAGTTAAATTATAGTATTAGACTGTAAAGATTTCAAATTATCTTGTAACTGTGTTGCTTGTGTGTGATGGAGCACCCACAATTTCTGAAGGCAAGCTATTCCATTGGTTGCTTGGTCTCATCCTTAGGAAATTTCTTCTTAGTCCTAGGTTGCTTCTCTCTTTGGTTAGTATCCATTCATTGTTTCTTGTCATGACTTTTGGTGCTTTGGAAAATAGATTGACGCTGTCATTTTTGTAGGAGCTCCTTAAATTTCCTAACAGAACAATTAATCAGTGGAACAACTTGTCTCCAGAAGTTGTAAATGCTCCAACACTGGAAGTTTTAAAGAAGAGATTGGACAACTATTTGTCTGAAGTGGTGTAGGGTTTCCTGCCTAATCAGGGGGTTGGACTAGAAGACCTCCAAAGTCCCTTCCAACTCTGTTACTCTATTCTATTGTAAATATTGGAACAGTGCTATTTTATTGTGCTTTTTTACTGTGAATTGGACTAAGGAGAAATTTCCTAAGGGTGAGACCAATCAAGTTGGCCATGCCCACCCAGCCACATGACCACCCAGCCACACCCACCCAGTCTATCATTAGGGCAGAGAACCGGTTGTTAAATTATTTGAATCCCACCATTGAAACAACCACATTGCTTCCCTTTGCTCTGCCCCACCACTGCCCTTCCATTCCCCTCAAAAAAGCTTTTTCAAATGCCATGGAATGCTAAGAAGACTTTCTCCACAGTCCTTCTTGGAATGCTTCATCTCTTGCAAAGCTAGAAAAGTGTTTCTACAGAACAGATTCCTACTTTTCCAAGTGACTGAAAAAGTAAGAGATAATCCAGAGTGATTTGTCAAGACAAAACAGTGCCGTTTTGCTTTTGATGAAGAGAACCACATCATCTCTTGCAATACAAAACCTTCACTGAGGCAAATGGTCATCTTGCACCTGTCTAATGAAAAGCCAAATGGGAAAATATATAGCAAATTGTAGTCTTGTAAAAATAGTTGCACTGGTCTACTATACAATTCTGATTTAATATCTAATCAGCATTAGAACAAAGGTTTCACTTTTAGACTTAACAAAGTGCTTTAATTTAAGAAAAGTAGGAGCTCTCTGCATCAAAGCCAGGAGAAGGAATGTGGAGGTTAAAAAGACAACACGCCACTACAACACTGATTTATGAAACCTGAACTGTTCTCATTCCAGGGAATTGAGAATAAGAGAAAAAAAATATTAATAAGATACTAAGGTGTCATATCTTAAAGATATTTAAAAGAGTAAAAGAGAAGAAAGGTCCATGTTCATACTATTTTCATGCATTTTGCACTACAATCTTATAAAAAGCATCTTTATTATTAATACAGCAGGGTTTAACTGCTGATTCTTGTACCTAAAACTGTACCACAACACCAGATGTCAGAACTGTGACAAACCCGAGCACTGGAAAAAGAATGAGAGAAACAGTGGGACAAAGAGAAAAATTTCTCATGCAGAGTATTTCTCTAGTGTCGTGATGGCGAACCCATGGTACGCGTGCCACAGGTGGCACGCAGAGCCCTTTCTGTGGGCACACCAGCCATCGCCTCAGGCCAGCTTCACTGCACATGCACATGTGCCTCCCACTGGCCAGCTGGTCAACGGGTCTTTGCCACACGTGTGTGGGGGGTGGGGCGCATCTGAGGAGCCTGCATGTGCAGGGATGGGGCACATGCGCCGGGGTGCTCCCATTGTGCATGTGTCCCCCCCGTGCCCCATTTTGGGCCTGGAAGGCCTCCTGCACCAACCTGGAAACCAAAACAGGTCACAGGGTGATGTGCGTGCATGCTCTGGAGAGGGGCACATGCACAGGGGGGCACTCACATTGCATTTTGGAGTTCAGGCACACATGCGTGCATTTGCGTGTGCACACACATGCTTTGGGCACTCAGCACCAAAAAGATTAACCATCACTGGAATAGACAGTAATACTTTCCTCCACATTTAATTGTACAATTATGGTAGTGAGAGGTCTTATATGTTCCATTGATTTGAGTGGCATAAGTGCTGTACTATCAGGGTTTAATTGAGAGAGGCAACATAGGAGTACCTCAATTTCAGACATTCAGTCTTCTGGGCTATTTTTCTTAAAGATAATCTAAACTGGTTTCTGCATTTCAAGAATCTCTTAAAGACAAATTGTTTTGTGGATAAAAGAAGGAAGAGCTTAGTTTATTTTGATTTATTATTTTTGTAGGTTCTAACCCTTCAAAGCATATGAAACTCAAAGCACAGGTAGTACTGCTTCTTATTGTGCCACTAAAGCTGAGAATGCCACTTGAGATTTCTATATATTTAATACCTACAGAGGAGCAACTATTCTAGTATCATTATTGTCTCAAAATAAAGCAATCTTTGCACAGCATTATGGGTTAATAAAGTTATTTTTGACGGATCCCAACATCTTCAACATGTACATGGTAATTACTACACATGAACAGCAGGATGTAGACAAGAAACCAAAATGTGTAGTAATTACCATCTGCTATTGCAGGTTCACTAGTTATATGTATTATCACATTTCAAATTCTAGAATTAACCTTTCCCTGAGACAGGGGACCTCTTGCCATCTAATAGGCTTTAATTTAACATGTCATAAATAGCAATCCCATAATGAAGAGTCCATTTGTTTAGTTCACTCAATAGCCAGAGTTTCATTTTGATAGCAACAATTCACAATGCCTTTGGATTTCTTAGGTTTTAGAACATCACTAAAATGAAAAGCCCCCTACTTGTTTTTTGCCATATATCTCAACCAGGACTGCAAGAAAGAAATTCCCAATGGTTTTTGCTTTTAGTTGTTTAATGAAGTGAAATAGAGATACACGGCTATAATTGTTCTATAAATCAGTAGAATAATCCTGTAATGAGCTTTTATTTAATAATATTACAGATATGAATTATAACCATCCTTGGGGGAAGAGGGTACTTTTAGGTTTGCTTTGATAAAGGAGAGATGATAGCAGTTTCTAGATTGCTATAAATTAATCATGTTGTAAAGAAAGTGTACAAAAATACTTTTTCCCTCCCTTCTGTTTCTAAATTAAAAGAGCACAATCTGTGAAAGTCTTGGGTGCAGCCCTCAGAGATCATTAAATTGTTTGTCTATTGAGCTGCAGATCACCAAGTGTTACAAATTCTATTTTTTAATGTGGCAGAAGGGGAAATTATTAAATAATGAGCGGGTAAGATGAACCTTATTAACTATATTTAATTTTAATCAAATGTATATGTAAGTGGGGTAAAATCAAATTACCTTTTGTCGCGGCTCATCCATAACTTTTTGAAGCATAGCCTCCAGCATATTTCACCAAGGACAAGGACAATGCTTGATGTAGAAATAAAAGAATAATAGGGTTATAATAAGGAATATCATCTGCCTCCTCTGCCCATTCTCACACCATCCCAGATGAAAAAACTGTCCAATCTTTGATTGGAAATTTAAAGTGTTATAGTACTCACAGCTCTAGAAGGCAGCCTTTTCCATTGTTTAATAGCTCTTATGGGCAAGAAAGTCCTCTTTATTTTGAGATTGGATCTCTTTTATAATTGTCTACTCATTGGTTCTTGTTTATCTTGTGCACTGTGGAGAATAATAAATGACAGCTCGTCAGGTATTTTGCCACAATCTATCACTCCTGTAGATTGGAATTTATTCCCCCAAATTAAAGGGACTTAATCTAAAACTGAATATAATGTCCATATTATTATAGCCTCTTCTTTCATCAACCAGACTTCAACCTTCAAGACATAAACTGGCATTTGGACTGGCATGTTCCAGGGGAACAGAATCAGAGAAAGGCCCAACTAACCATGGTAGAGACTCATTCCCAACATCCTTCCTTCAAAGGTTTAAAGGTAAAGGTAAAGGTTCCCCTCGCACATACGTGCTAGTCATTCCTGACTAAAGGTGGTGGTGCTCATCTCCATTTCTAAGCCAAAGAGCCAGCGCTGTCTGATGACAATTCCGTGGTCATATGGCCAGCATGACTAAACACCATAGGCGCACAGAACGCTGTTACTTTCCCATCAAGGGGTCTCTATTTTTCTACTTGCATTTTTACATGCTTTCGAACTGTTAGGTTGGCAGAAGCTGGGGCAAGTAACGGGAGCTCACTCCATTATGTGGTGCTAGGGATTCGAACCACCGAACTGCGGACCTTTCTGATCGACAAGCTCAGCATCTTAGCCAATGAGCCACCGATGCGCATCCCCTTTCAAAGGTTAGACTTAGTGGGTTTTTTTTTTAAAAAAAATTACAGATGCAACTGTTGTTTGTCTGATGTAAGGTCTGTACCAAAAAAGAGACACAAGAAATACAATGTCTTGTTCTGGATTCCAATGGCTTTGGAATAGAACATTTTTGACAAAAAGAGAGAAACAGATACTTGCTTATCTCTACTCCTAATATCACCAGTGTTCAGCAAAATCAAAGGAGCATACCTCTCTAACAAGATATCTACACATCTCTGTTTTCTATGTTATTTATTATTAGCATAATGAATAACATAGAAAATAACATGGATCCCATTAATTATTGTCTTCTTTTAAAAGACTTGGAACAGCTTTGTGTCTGGTTTGTCATCAGAGAAAGAAGAATTTGTCATTATTGAAGAATTTTGCTTGATCATTCGGAATTTTCCTGTAGGTTCTTGCGAGGATCCATGTTATTTTCTATATTATTTATTATGCTAATTATTATACTTCAAATAATAAGATAAGTTCAGAGATGTGTCAGGTCTCAAGGAGGTGACAAAGTAGAGCTGAAGTGGACAAGATGGAACAGTTGTAGATTTGGGGGATTGAATTTCAGAGTTTGCAAAATATGTCCTGCACCCTTCCTCAAGGTTCAGGACTTGATAGACTCCAGTTTTGTGAAGTGTTATGGAACTTTCTTTGTGGGGTTTTAAATGGTGCCTGCAGGATTACCTTTATCAATGGATTTTTCATCTTACTTCAAGCCGCTAATTAGAGCCTACATTTTTAAAATCAATCAATGCAGTCATTTAATTAAATTATAAAATGTTTACATATTTTGGACCATGTAATTTAGCTTTGTAATGAGTTTAGATGTGTTTTGCTTTATATGGTACATTTTGCTTCTTCAGATTGCAATGCTTAGGGATTTAAATTTCTATGGATATAGTAAAATATTCCTGGAAAAAAAGAAGTGCTGATCAGTGCTTGAAATTATCAAATAGGAACATACAAACAGGCTTTTAAGAAAGAAGAATAATATAACCTGAAGATTATTTTATGTGTGTATGAGTATGGCACATAATTAACAAATTTAAATGCTTCTATTCATTCTCTAAAAAATAACACCAATGTTAAATATCTGTTTTCTTTTCCTTTGCTTACTCATGCATTTATTCAACACTTTCTATAGCAGTTTATCTAAAATTACGTTCAAAGTAATTTAGGCAGCCATAGTCTGTGTGAGAGATTCCATAGAAGGCTTTAAATCATAGTGACAGGCAGTAGGGCTTGCTGAAAGGAAAGCATTTTTGAAGGAGTCATGGAATAACAATAGGAAAACTTTAAAGATATAACTCTTCAGTGTTTGAGAAAGTAGCCAGCCTACAAAATTGTAGCTTTAAGTTAGGCTCATTAATAGTAAAGATGCTGCATGGTAGCATGCCTTCATGTATTTCAGTGGTATTACTTGAAAGAAGAATACCCTAAATCCACTTTCAGGATTGATCATTGTCTCTCTTTGCCTAATTCTCCCTTCTGGTTGTTTGAAAGAAGCATTTTTTAAAAAAATTATTTAAAAGTTGTTTTTCATGATTGCCATTTCCAGGTGTCAGAATTATCTCTGTGTGGTAAAAGGGCATTTTGATATTTGACATGGAATGACAACTACTAAGCCCTTTCTTAGGTCAAAGTTTATAATATTCACTGCCCAACAGCTTAAAAAAATCAGTAGGATGTCCAAATGGTCAGTTTCCCTGGGAAGAAGAGCCAATATTTACCTAATGAGCAATATCTTGTGAAATTTTATGCCACTCATACTCCCCAAAAGTTGTTCCATTCCATTATTTTATATTATACTTTATTGATTTATCTTACCTTACTTTGCAATGTACCCAGAGAACTTTTGCTGCAGAACAGTTTAGAACTATAATAAATCAAACACAAAAAAAGAGCTAAGCTGTATTTTGGTTCCAAATTCAGTTGGATCTTGCCCCTCATTATCACTGTCACCTCTTTCTCCTCTTCTAAATCTCTGTGTTGCTTTTTCAAATTCTTCTTAAGCTGCTTTATCTTTCTCTTTCTCTTGCTGGCTCAGACAATGGTTCTGTTTCTTTGCCTAGAGTTCGACAATCAAGCTAAAACCCTCAGAGACCCAGGGTAACAGAATTTCACTTTGAGAATAAAATTGCTTGTCTTCATACCAACTTGAATATTGCTTATGATACAATACAAACTGAACCATCGAACATACTATTTAATCCATTGTGTAGAATAGCTTCCAAACTGTGAAACTTTAGGCAATCCCAGGCTTTCCATATGCTCTGTGGAGTCTTGCCTGCCATGGTTCATTCAGGATAACAGAACGCTGGATCAAAGAATTATGGATGGAGTGGTGCCATGAGGCTTAAAGAATTTTTTTTTCCTATAGTCTTAAGGAAGCCCTCCCTCACTCCTGAAAATTGTGTCCACCATAATCCAGTAATAAGTAGCCTTATTACTGTCTGGTAGCAAGATTGGGTGATACTTGCACAGATGAAGTTGTTCTGAGGACACTAATTATTTTGGGTTTTTTCAGCCTTAATTCTAGCCTGCTTTGGGAAGATAATCAGGCATTGTCATCCTGTGTGACGCCCTTCTGTAGAAGACAGGAAATTTGTTTCCGTTGACACTGCCTGACTGAGGTTTTTGATATAGTTAACAATGGTACCCTTCTGGATTGCATATGAGATGGGAATTAAAAGCTTGTTATAGTGTTGCTAATCCTTTTGATAGGAACAGTCTTTGATAGTTGTATTGCAGTTTTGTGACTTGGCTTTCTGGAAGCTATGCTACCATAAAATTCTTTTTATCCCCAGTGATATACAAAATTGTTAGAGCAATTGTTACACAATGCAGGGGGAGGTGTCATTAATTTATATATGATGATAGTTAACTTTAGTTTCCTAATAGCTAAATCAGGACAGATTGAGCATATTCTTAACCAATTTCTGAGTGGAGTGATGGGATAGAGGAGGATGAATTGTAATTATTGCAAAGTGGAATTAGCTTTTTTTTACCTATTTCCAGTGTACCTATTCCAAAACATGGTGAACAGATCTGTGAAGTGGGCAGCTGGCTGTTTATATCATGGATGAAGATCCCACTTTCATCTTTGGTATGCATTGGTCCTTTTAATCTACCGTAGTTTGTTTTTAATTTTAATGTTTCAATGTTTTAATGTGCTTAACCTTCTAATTATTGTATATTGTTATTTATGACATTGTAAACTGTCCGGAGTTACTTGATAGTGAGGTGGGATTATATTTTGAAGTAAGTGTACGGTTTCCAATTGGCTAGTAAGCCACGTTCAGTTGATTTTTTAAAAATAAATATAGTCCTATAGAACTTGAGATCTAGATGTCTGAAAAATTGCCTTGCCAGTATAGACTTGATTATTAGGGAAGGTCCTATATTGAGGTTCAGTGGGGGGGGGGGATTCAAATTTTTTTATTACTGGTTCTGTGGGCATGGCTTGGTGAGTGTGGCATGGCTTGGTGGGCGTGGCTTGGCAGGCATAGCAGGGGAAGGATACTGTAAAATCTCCATTCCCTTTCCACTCTAGGGGAAGGTTACTGCAAAATCCCCATTTCCTCCCAAACAGCTGGGACTTGGGAGGCAGAGAATAGATGGGGGTGGGGCTACTCAGAGGTGGTATTTACCAGTTCTCCAAACTACTCAAAATTTCCACTACCAGTTCTCCAGAACTGGTCAGAACCTGCTGAATACCACCTCTGTTGAGGTTGACAGAATGGCAACTTGCCTACTTGCAACTGGCCATTTCTGTGCTAGTGCTTACATTCTGTAATGCTTTCTTTGCAAAATGCATGAGTAACATCTATCTGTGAAAGAGAAATAAAGTGAGTCCTCTTTTATTTTATATTATTTTACTACCTTTATAGTTTTTCAGTGTGAACACTATTTTTATGCTGTTTTAAACAATTTATTGTAAAAGGCTTCAAGTTTTACAATATTATTACTATTCCTATTATTCTTCCATCCACTTAATTGGCTTTCTCCCTTGTTCTCTCATTATCTATTTATACTGTTCATATAACAAGGATTCTCTTTTGCCATTTATTAAGCTGTATAAGCTTCACACATCCAAATTTAATTGACTGGACCTGTAACTGTCCGTTCATTGATGCAAGGGGTCTCCCTGTGAGTAGAACAGCTTCCACTCCTGTCAGAGGCTCCTTCTTCGCATGTGTAAATACATGTATTTCAGTGGCTAAAACTGTGCCTATGTCTATACTGAGTTTAAGAAATGTTATTATCACAATCTACAATAATTTGGCAAGATAGTGTACACCATCCTCCAACTGCATTATATGTTAGATTTAGACTACAGTTCAAAGCAATTACAAACAGTCTTTGAACTACTTGGATAAACAGACCAAATACACATTTTCCCCCTTGGGAATATTGATCTGTTTCTGTATCTTCAAATCAATCTCCTCCTCTATCTTGAATACAATGAAAAAGAAAATGGGATTTAAAGTGGGAAAAGGAAATAGATGGTAAACATCCAGGTTTGTCTCAAGAATGGCTTACAATATCTATTTTTTAAATTTTGCTATGTTTTTTTTTTTGTTGTTGGAATTTATAGTTAAGTATAGATTGATTTGTGAGAGTTTTTCCTTGTTATTACATTTAATGGATTAAATAGTGAGCAGCCTTGTCATTTCAAAAAATGATGGATTAAGGGGCAAAACAGTAACAGTAGAAATAAATTATTAAATGGCTCATCGGTATGGACCTTTACTACTTCCTCAGCAATTTTTCCTGGCAAGTAGTGTTTTGCTGACATGGAACCCAAGAACCAGATACTGAGATCATCCTAAAGCTGTAAAATTTGCATTGGCTTATATGAAACTTATTTTCAGGAAAAAAAATGTTTGTATTTATATTTTCTTAGCATCCTTGGGAGTGGGAGTGGGAGTGGGAAAAACAATGTTTGGATGTTAAGCAGATGGTAACAATTAGCTTAAAAAAGAAAGTGAAATGGTAGGAGGCAAATATACAATTATTGTTCATACTGGTAAGTCCATAAGCAATAAATGGGAGAAAAAAATCTTCATGATTTGATGTGCAAAAAGATAGCTGGTAATTGGCTCTGGAATTTATTATTTTGAGCTAACACTTAAAATTGCCCCCATAAATGATTAAAACTAAAAAGTGCAACATTTGTTAAAAGTGAATAATAATCCTTACTATACACTACACTACCAGCAAAAGGTCAAAGTAAAGGTTTCTCCTTTCCAGTTTTGTTTGATTCCAAGGGATGGTACTTACTTCCGATTCTTAGCCAAGGGAGCCAGTATTATCTGAAGGCATTTTGGTAGTCATGTGGCCAGCATGACTATATAGAATGTTATCTTCCCACCGCATTCCAATTCTTCTATTTGTTTATTATTTTCCTTAGAGGTAATTTGGGATAATAAGTGGCCCTAGTATTCTCCTGTTTTATAAGGAGATGATCTGATATTCCCAAAATCAATTCCACTTCTTTCAAAGATCGGCAACAAAACACTGATCAAATTTCTAATGCTATACGCTGCTCTCTCCATTCCTATGCAAACAGATTGCTCAGCTTACAAAGGGCTTGTACTATAGACAAACTGATGAAGACTGGGGAGGGGAAACCATGTTTCCCGCTTGTTTCTCATTCTTTTTTTTTTTTTTTGCAAAAAACAAATGATCTTCTTTGTGAACTTCTAACTGTGCATGCTCACAATTTGCTCAGATGGCAGAGTGAGAGAAAAATCTTGCAAATGCAACATAAAAGAGTTTTCATGAATTGGTTAGATATCAGTTTATCAAGAAACATGCTTTGCTGGCATTTGTCCACAGGTTTAGGTAAACAAGCAAGATGAAGTTAAAGTTAGTAACAATGGCACAGACAGAATAGTGCTGAAGCATTTCTTTTTGAATCGGCTACAGCAAATTGTGAGAAACACTTGGAGACATTCCTGCAATACAGACTAGGAAAGAAATGTTCTTTCTGTTACTTAGTCTAATTGTTTAAATCATCATTGTCTATCATTCTAATGATGCCTTGAGAACACGTAATGAAATAAAATGTGGCCATTTTAGGGAGACTTAGCATTTAATACTTCCTTATATTTTTTCAGATTGTTGTGCATTTTGGTTCAAACACAGTTTCTTTTGTATCAGTACAAATATTTTTTAAAATACTTTTTGAATTACAAAAATTATGCTTCAGCATATATTTATGCAAACTGAAAAATAGCAGTGTTATAGCTATATGACAAAGAAGTCTCCACGGAATAAGCCTCATAGATACAGTTACCATGGTGGCGCACTGGTTAGACTGCAATTTTGCAGGCTAATTATGCTGACTGCCAGGAGTTCGATACTGACCAGCTTAAGGTTGACTCAGCCTTCCATCCTTCCAAAGTCAGTAAAAAGAGGAGCCAGATTGTTGGGGGCAATGTACTGACTCTGTAAACTGCCTAGAGAGGGCTGTAAAGCAATGTGAAGTAGTATATACTATAAATTTAAGTGCTATTGCTACTAAATATCTGAACAGGCAAATAGATATTTGGAAAGGAGGACAAAGATGGGGAAAGGAAGACACACTATTTGACTTTCTTAGCATGGGTAACAAAAATTACACTGACAAATTGCAGGAAAAAAAAGTACTTAGGTTTCCATGCCCAGAAATTACTTTTTCTAACATCAGAAAGAAAGGTTTTTCAGTCACATTATTTTTCCAACTAATCTTTATTTTCAAGAACATATGCCAGTGATAAGATAGAATTGATGATGACACACTTTTCAAATTTCACCATTAAAACCTATGACAAGTCATATGATCTACAGATTGCAGCGTTCATAAATCTGAAGAGGCTGGATTGGATTGCTGAAATTAGAAAATAAATTAAATAGCATAAATCTAAGCTGTCAAGTTTGTCAATGAATGAGGGTGAGAAAGAAGCAGACACAAAAGTTTGAATGACTACGTTTGTAAAAACAGATCAATTTTTTTGGGGGGTATAAATTTTTATTAAAGTTTTATAAAAGACATAAAAACTAAAAAGCAAGAGCAATAAAAAAGAGAAAAAAGTAGAAAAGCAAAAGGGCAAAAAGAAAGCACCAGAAAGAAAAAATTGAAAGAAACAAATTCTGATTTCCCTTGTATTAAGTATAAATATAATCACAAAATTATCTCTTACTCTCCGATTTTAAAGGGTAAAGTACAACTGAAACCAGAGACTTTTCTCTGGTGAATGAACAAGCAATAAGAAAAAAGTCATAGGACTTTGAATTTATTTATATATATTGCAGAGAGACTACAGGTAGTCCTCGACTTACAACAATTCATTTAGTGACCATTCAAAGTTACAACGGCACTGCAAAACATGACAAGACTGTTTTCCCCACTTACAATCATTGCAACATCCCTGTGTTCACGTGATGAAAATTCAGATGCTTAGCCACTGACTCTTATTTATGACAGTTGCAGTGTCCTGGGGCCATGTGATCATTTCGTGATCTTTTGGCAAGCAAAGTCAATTGGGAAGCCAGACTTGCTTAAACACATTAATAATTTAACAACTGCAGTGATTCACTTAACAACTGTAGCAAGAAAGGTCATAAAATGGAGCAAAATTCACTTAACAACTGTCTCACTTAGCAACATAAATTTTGGTCTCAATTGTGGTCATAGATCAAGGACTATGAGCATTGCATGCTCAAAAGTGGAAAGGTTTGACACTATTTACAAAAGAGGAATAGTTGGTGAAGATGAAACTTGCAGAGATAGCTTAATTAGCTGCTTTGATTAGAGAAAAAATAGTATACATATATTTAAGGTTGACTGAAAACCGTTAGACTTTTTGCACGAAACAAAAATGCACTTACGATTTTTGGTTTTAAAAAAAGTGAGGGCTTTTTTTGTAATAATGAAGTAAAACAGTCCAATTTAAAAAAAAATACAATTGATCATTTGGATTAAAGTAGCAGTATTTTCACAAGAGAAGTTCTAATTTCCAGTTCTTTTTCCTTTGGAAATAATCTTCTATGCATAATTAAATTAAAATATGAAACTTTAATACAACAGAATATAACAAATCCAAAGGATACTTTCCATAG